AAGCTGCCGGCTGCCCCCTTTGCCGGGCGCATCCGAAACAGCGAAACAGCAGGGCCCTGAGGGACGGACCGGGCCTCCGGGCAACGGCCCCCAGTGCCTAACGTCACTTTCTGACCCTACAAGAAAATCTAGCTGTCTTCCAGCCGCCGCGGCTCACAAACGGCGCATCCGTTGCTTTCTGAAGCCCTTAGAAAAGTAGCCCTGGAAGCTTCCGACTGCCACCTTTGCCGGGCGCATGCGAAACAGCGAAACAGCAGGTCCTGCTGGTCTCAACCGCGTGTCCCAAGGCCAGGCGCCACTGCCTAACGTTGCTTTCTGAAGCCCTTAGAAAACTAGCTCTGGAAGCTGCCGGCTGCCCCCTTTGCCGGGCGCATCCGAAACAGCGAAACAGCAGGGCCCTGAGGGACGGACCGGGCCTCCGGGCAACGGCCCCCAGTGCCTAACGTCACTTTCTGACCCTACCAACAATCTAGCTGTCCTTCAGCCGCCGCTGCTCCCAACCGGCGCAACCCGTTGCTTTCTGAAGCCCTTAGAAAACTAGCTCTGGAAGCTGCCGGCTGCCCCCTTTGCCGGGCGCATCCGAAACAGCGAAACAGCAGGGCCCTGAGGGACGGACCGGGCCTCCGGGCAACGGCCCCCAGTGCCTAACGTCACTTTCTGACCCTACAAGAAAATCTAGCTGTCTTCCAGCCGCCGCGGCTCACAAACGGCGCATTACTGATCCGTTGCTTTCTGAAGCCCTTAGAAAACTAGCTCTGGAAGCTGCCGACTGCCACCTTTGCCGGGCGCATGCGAAACAGCGAAACAGTAGGGCCTGCTGGTCCCAACCGCGTGTCCCAAGGCCAAGCGCCACTGCCTAACCTCTTAGAAAACTAGCTCTGGAAGCTGCCGGCTGCCACCTTTGCCGGGCGCATCCGAAACAGCGAAACAGCAGGGCCCTGCGGGACGGACCGGGCCTCCGGGCAACGGCCCCCAGTGCCTAACGTCACTTTCTGACCCTACAAGAAAATCTAGCTGGCTTCCAGCCGCCGCGGCTCAC